AGTCCGAGTCTATCGCTCTACGACCTGCTCCAGTTGCGACCTAAGGAGGTGAAAAAACGAATCACCTTCAAGGAATACTTCGAGTTCGCCCGTTGCTGGGATGAATTGTCGACGCTCCGCAAAGAAGGGTTTGAGGCGTGTGTCGTCGCGCATCTGTGCGAGAAATTATCCAGAAGATTTTTCCAAAGCTGGACGTTGTATCCCTTCTGGGATCTGATACATAAGCGGCTGCCGCTTGAGTGCTGTGACATGATCCTCGACAATCTAATGAACAAAGACTTGTATCACATTTTCGTGGCAACTGGCGAGCAAAGCTCGTGATGGGTATAAACATAATTAGTGTATATTTTTATGTCTGTTTTGTTGAATATTGTACTTTTATAAAAAAATTCAAATAAACTAAATAAAACCAATTGAATTTATTAATTCATGCTTCCTGCACTCTAAACCCAAAAGCGTAATTTTCGAACCTCAAAATAGTAAACTGCGTTATTTACTCTTTTTAAAAGAGTAGATAGAGTAGTCGAGTAGTAGAGTGCATTGTTAGATCCTTCCATATAGCCTTTTACCATTGTACTAGAAATGCTTTGGGCGCGTACCGCTCGCATAGGATTATGATTATGAAGCTGGTTCTACATTACATGGATCGAGTGCGACTTCGATTGGATTGATTTCGCAACACAGTTCGATATCAACACAGTGTGCATCGAAAGTACTAACTATAAAGAGAGAAATCTTAAAATTATCTCTTATAACCCTCGAGTTAATTTTCGATGTCACTCGATCTTTATAGACGCATCGGCTGGTGTTGCGGAACCAATCCAATCGAAGTCACACTCGATTCATGTTATGTATAGAGCTTAGACTATAAAATATAGACTCGTGAATATATTGAAATATATTTTCAAATTCTGGATTAAAAATTACTAAAATTTTATCTAATTATCCGAATTAATTAATGAATATTAACATCATTTTGATGCAGGTTTCTATGCTTATCAATCATGCTAGCCGTCGATGTTTGAGAAATCTATAGGTCATGTGTACAAATCTATTCATAAAAATAATATAATCTATTACGATCAACTGTAGTGAATTGATTGTATTAGTCACCACCAGTTACATATAATTCATTATACAAATCATTTTTTATTGATTTTTTGTTCGAATTATCAGTATAAATCCATTGGGGTCCTCAACTTTTAATAAGATCCTTTTGTATGTGATAGAGTCATCTTACCAATTATTGAATGCAACATCATTATTTAATTTTTAAGGGGGGAAAGGTATATTAAACCTACATTTATAAAAAATTTATTAAAAATACAAAAAAAAAATGTTTTTGGACTATACAGAGAAAACTCTGTTTTTTCACTCTTTTTCCAAAGTTTTTCATTCTGGAATATCAAAATTGAGGTCCCAGTCACCATAGAACCCTCCCGAATGAACGAAGCCCACACTCCCGAGTGGTACACCTATGCCGTAAAATCCAGCTATAACCGATGATTCAATCATGGTCATAGGGGTTTCATTTTGTTCAGTAGATGTGTGGTTACAAACGCAAGCACTTTGAGATACTTTAATTAATTATACACAATATTACAGCGATATATACATTTTTTTTCATTAGTATAATATGATAAAATGACAGATTATGCTAGAATATAGCCTGAAAAAAGTGCTCATTTGTCGCAATACCTTTGAAAGTACTTACAGCTATCTGCTTTTCGTAGTTTCGTTTTGACTCGCTCAACAAGCCATCCAGTGTTTTAATGGAATTTACACATACATTATTACTCTGAAAATTATTCCGAACACTTACGTTGTCGTCGTTGGCTATCTCGTATGAATATAATCCAAATTGGAAATTTAAAAAGGCATCTGTACGGTTAGCTATTTGCTGATAATAATCAGCTGATAACATTTCGTGCACACTCTGGAACGAGGCGTCGTCCACGATGTGGGCTGCATCTTCCAGCGGCGGCAAACTATTGGCTTCGTCGGCTTGGACCGCCGTCCCATCCGCGTCGTAGCTCTGCGAACGTCGACTCTCTGGCAAACGACGTGCAGAGGAGTCTCTCCTTTATCGTTGACCGCGTTAAAATCGGCGCCTCGTCTCAGCAGCCACTCGACTACCTTCTTGCGACACTTGGCCGAGGCCAAGTGCAACGGCGTGTTACCCCGTTCCGGGCATCGTCGATCTCCTCCTGTTTCTTCTCTATCATCTCTACCAACGTCTCCTCGACGCTTTCGTCGATATTCTCTACATTGGAGATGACATGCAAAGGAGTCTCTCCTTTATCGTTGGCCAAATAAGGATCGGCGCCTTGGCTCAGCAGCATCTCGACGACTTCGGCTCTCTGGTGTCGTAGCGCCACGTGCAGCGGCGAGTCGCCGGTCATTTTCTCCCGGCAATTATTGGGATCGACTTGGCCGAGCTCGAGAAATTTTTTCGCGACGTCGTCGAAGCCGTATTGACAGGCCACGTGCAGATGTGTGAGGCCGGTCTCCTCGTCGACGTAATTCACCCGGAAGTCGTTGTAAATTTCAAAAAGAACCTCGATGGTGCGCAACTTTAGCGTGACTCTGGACGCTCGGTGCAGCGGACTTGTGCGATTGATCAGCAGTGGCTTGCCGTGCTCGTCGAATCGGGCCCGATGTCTGTAGCCGGTGCAAGCTACGAAATCGATGAATGCTTCTCCTGCTGCATTGCTGTAGTAGAAGTCATTGTGATCGCTCTTCAAATCCGAAGAATCCAAGAGAAGACATTCTATCTCATCCTCTCGAAAGATGTCGCGCAGGTTTGGAAGTTCGTAGTACCAACAAACGACCACGGGATAGAGTCGTTCGAGAAATCGATGTCGCTCCTCCGCCATCTCCCAATCGACATTTTCTCGCAAGGCCTGTAATCTTTCTAAATTTTCGCAATCGTCGAGATAATGGGCCATTGTTTCACAACTCACAGTCACTTACAATTTCAAATATTTTAACTAAAAATCACTCGATGCACACTTTTGTTTTTCTTCTTTGTACTGTCTCTGCTGCGCTACGATTTTATACATTGAGTCTATGAATGAACACGTCCACACGCTCGTACACGTATGAAGTCAATGATCACGCGATCGAGGCTGCGTTACGGTTTTTGTAAAAAGTTTGCTTTTCTTTCAAGAACTTAAATGTGGCATTTAGCGTTAGTAAAATATTGATCTTGTTGGTAAAATATTGAAGTTTCACACAATTTTTGGCGACTCGAGTCGAGTAAAACTCGAAAAATCGGGTACTCGCCCCTAACCGCAACACAATAAATTCGCATTCACGCGTGTATTTGTTTACTCGTCCGATTTTGATGTTACTGTTGCGATTTTATTAGTTAATAGGACTGTGCGTGTGTGGGTAGTAGCGAGAAACGCATTGCTGTCATTATTACGCTATTGTGCAGTAAACATCGCCGACGGTAATGGTGTTTATTGTGTATCGTACCCTGGAACAGTCACCACAAGAGTCAGTTTTAGATTTAGTTAATTAACCACGTGTCACTTTTGTTTACGTCACTTTGAGCTTTGTTAATTAACCCATTAACACGCAAAAGTGCAATTTTGTGCATGAATTTTCCGTTGTAAAAAAATGATACATAAAGTTAAAATATTTTCTTGAAAATCCATACCCAGGGGTTTTTGGGTATGCTCTTTCAGTATCCGGTGTTATTTTTGCGACAAATAAACATTATCATCGTTTATTTTGCCATTAAAAACAAAAAACGTGATTTTTTGACTCAAAATTTTTTTTCAAAGTCGATTTTCTACCTTGCCCTGCTTTCAGAGGGTTCCCATAACATCAGAAATCGTGCACTTTTTCTCTGAACCTTGAAAAAATGCGCTGCCGCGATTTTTATCTAGCCCCTATATTTCAAAAATGGCGAATTTATACCGAGCAGCGGTATAAAAATTCACTCATTTTTTACTCAGAACCTATTTTACATGCGCTAAATATGAACTCAAAAGTACAATTTGGAGTGTAAAAACTTATTTGAAATCGTTTAGAGAATACGTCTAAATTTTTTCAGAATTTTTCAGACCACTTTGAAAATTTTGCAAAATACGACCATTTCCCGGCCTGTCGAAAAAATCCAAAATGTTCCAAAAAAAAATCTGAAAAATTCTGAAAAAATTATTAAAAAATTCTAAAAAAAATTCACATGTGTTTTTCGAACAAATTTGAACACTTTTCATTATATGACTTTCTTTCATAAAGTCAATAATTTACAAATAAAAAATAAGGCAATTTTCATATCGCTGCTCGGTATAAATTCGCCATTTTAGAAATATAGCGGCTAGATAAAAATTGCGGCAGCGCATTTTTCGAAGGTTCAGAGAAAAAGTGCACGATTTCTGGTGTTATGGGAGCCTTCGAAGGTAAGGCAAGGTAGAAAATCGACTTTGGAAAAAAATTTTGAATCAAAAAATTACGTTTTTTGTTTTTAATGGCAAAATAAACGATGATAATGTTTATTTATCGCAAAAATAACACCGGATACTGAAAGAGCATACTCAAAAACCCCTGGGTATGGATTTTTAAGAAAATATTTTAACTTTATCTATAATTTTTTTACAAAGAAAAATTCATGCACAAAATTGCACTTTTGCGCGTTAATGGGTTAATTTTAACATAACTATATATTTCCTTATTAATAAAAACTCCTAGGAGATGTTTGAAATTACAGCGACTTCGTTCTCCATGGTCGATTAATTAGTCACCGAAGCAAAACTTGATTAATCATCGTTGCGACTGGATCAGAAAAGCATCGCTTTCAATCAGCCCGGATATGTAACCGAGATGCTTTGATCGAGTCGCCTACATCCACGTGTGCGAATTAACCGCAATGTGTCTCGATGCGATCGATATAGTTCCAAGCCTTTTGCTTATCATGCAGTTCGAATGATGAAATTGTAAATAAATAAATAGTGATAAAATCGGGGGGGTAGATTCGACAAATAATCAAATTTAACGATGAATGGATCAATTTAATGGTTTTTTGTTACATATTAAAGTATCTTCAAGTGTCACGATACATACAGATTCTATTGCATTATACACACTATTTACACAAAAATTTTTTTAATTTTTTTATCTTCTCTTCTCTTATTCTCACATCGTATACATCCCCAACTCAGAATTCAAATCGAATTGCATCGCAAGTTTAAATATCTATTTAACTTTACAAATAAAATTAAAACTTTTCCAATCATTCATGGATGAATTTAAAATTTAAAATGCATGAAAGTCAGTAGTCTCTGACGAGTCATGGAACTGATAATTATTAATTTGCTATTATTCGTATCTGCTATCTATTCGTAATATAATTATATTCTTTCATAATCCTTTTCGGTATATCTTTGTTCTTATTTTACAAATAACACAATTTCATCGTATCATCATATAGGATTCTTACAGGTTCTAAAAATGTATCAAGTGCTGAAAAAAAAAAAATGGTTCGTGCTTTGCTTAATTCAAACATATCTATAAAAATTTAGCTTACCATTAAAAAAAATTTCGATCTTTTATCGGTGGGTCAAATTATTCTCTCTCTCTCTCGCTCGGAATTTTCTAGCCGGTGTCGTTTTAAAGCAATATTACAATTACAAAAAATATATCTCATTCTTGTTCAACTCATTCATAGTATTTCGTAAAAATATTTTGGCAACAAATTTTCTCTGATTACATCAGACATTATACGATATAATAATCCAGCAATGCCGTAGCTCGTCATTGCACTCCTCTACGTTTAAGTAAAAAATAACGTAATAATTTCGAAAGTATATTTTATATTTATACATCTTGAGAATAAACTGTGCAGTCGTATATCTTCGTTTCTAACATAGAAATCGGACAAGTCGATCGAATCAGTCGTATCATGCAATTTTACCGACGGCCCAGAACGCGACGACAAGCAATCCCAGATAACGATGAAGTCCCGACGCTGCCGCCGAATTCGGCGAGGGCGGTGCCTGGGCCAGCGGCTGGTTGGCGGCACCCAAGGCGATCACGGCCTCGACTCGATAGTCGCGGCTGATCTGCGTCAGATTGGCTATTCGAGCGACGCAGGCCACCTTCAGACTGCCGTTCTGGAAGTGCTGCCTCTCCAGCTTCAGGGACAGCTCGGATCTCGTGCTCGACGTAGCCTCGTTCGACGGACGCATCCTCTCGCTGCGCACTCGTGATTGATCGATCTGCAATTGGTCGTATAGTACGCGTTATGTATTTTTGATTAAAAGCTCGAGAAGAAATTAATTTCGAGATCGATGACTTTTCATCGAGTACAAATTCAAATGTATAGACAAAAAAAACTGCGTGAACAATAGTTATGCAAGTGTATGTATGTATATACACATAATATAGGTTTGGCGAGGGTAAGGAAAATTGCGACCGTGCGATATATATACAACGTTCGAATTAATCCGGGCTGGAAGAAGCGCGAATAGGAGCAGAACAAGAGAAGTGAGAGAGAGAGAGAGCGAGTATAATATAGATCAAGAAGCGAAGAGAAGGAGGAGGAGTCTGAGAGAACAAGCGTGCACGAAAGCTATATAACGTTTAATATAAGTTTTGCCCGGCACATATATATATAGATCGTTTTCTTATGTATTATATACCTTGCGTCCGTTGAGGTAGAAGGAGAGCTCGGCCGGGGGCAGACTCGGTGCCGAGGTGCAGGCCAGCTCGAGGAACTCGCCGACCTGATAATTGTGCCGGAGACCCTCGAGGACGGGATTGACCTTGGGCAGGATGGCGGCGCTGACGTTGGCCACCCCGTAGTCGGTGAGGAAGGGCCGCTCCGTCGACACCTCGCACACGTACGTACCCTCGTACGACTTCATGTCTGCAAGGATGCCATTAATTGCAATTTATACATAATCTGGCAATGTTTAATTGTATGAATTGCTTTGAAATAGTGCTTGGACTTATACAATTATTTTGACTCTGCCACTTGCGGATTTACGCATATGAGGTAGTCGCCATCTAGTGGCAGAGACCGGTTTCAATTATCAATCACATTGTTCGGAAAGGCAATAAGTACACAGACGAAACAATTTATAAAATTTAGATTGATATATACAATTATTTTGACTCTGTCACTTGCGGATTTACATAAATAAAGGTACTCGCCCTCTAGCGGTAAAGACTTAAAGTAATATCGTATTTGACGCGATTGAAAACAGATCGAAATATTTCGAAACAAGTAAACTGTTATATTCAGCTAATTCAGAATGCGCTCGATACTTTCTACATATAATTGTAAGGAGAAAAAAACTCGACTCACTTCGCTGCACGTCCTGATGGCCGATGAGCAGCAGCTGCTCGGCGTTGCTGTGCTCGAGGCTGACGTTGACGTCGGCCACCCCCGGATAGGCCGTCGCCTTGGGCACGAGGCTCGGCGAGTAGCGGAACAGCACGTCCTCGTTGCGGAACCAGTTCACCGCGTACAGCTCGTTGCCGCCCAGGTCGTACTCGCAGCGCAGCAGCAGCTCCGGCGAGCGCGGGTCCACCACGGCCGGGGCGCGAAGGCCCCGGACCATGTTGTTGCGCTCGGGTGTCGCGTTGTTCCCAGGGGGGCCGCTGCTGCTGCTGTTTCTCTTTACCAGCCGCGGCGAGTGCCTAAAGCCTAAAAAAACATTTTGATGTGTTTATTAGACTGGAAGCAAAAAAAAAAATTTTTTTTATTTCGCCCGGACCAAACGGAAAAGTGATCTATGTACCAAAAAAATAGTCTGTGCAAAATTTTAGCTCATACAAATTGAGATAACCCGTGCCGCCAGTCGCTTGAAGGTTTTTAAATTCGATTTAAATTAATTTTTACCGCTTCTTTACAGCGATATTCAAATGGCTCTGTAGCCGTCAATTTTCAAGCAAATAAAACTTCTAACCCGTAAAATTAAAGGTCTTGAAAAGACCTTTAATTTGCTTTTTTCAAAATTTTGATCGCTTCAAAATTAACTGCTGTAGAGCCGTTTGATTATTGCTAAAAAATAGAAAAAAATCGAAATTTTTCTAGTTTTCTAATAGCTGAAGTTCACTCGGAGAAACACCAATTTTTCCTAAACTCCGGGGTGTTCTTTCGTGTGTAATGAGCTAAAAAAATACAGCAGTTAATTTTGAAGCAATCACAATTTTGAAAAAAGCAAATTAAAGGTATTTTCAAGACCTTTAATTTTATGGGTTCGAAGTTTTATTTGCTTGAAAATTGACGGCTACAGAGCCATTTGAATATCGCTGTAAAGAAGCGGTAAAAATTAATTTAAATCGAATTTAAAAACCTTCAAGCGACTGGCGGCACGGGTTATCTCAATTTATATGAGCTAAAATTTTGCACAGACTATTTTTTTGGTACATAGATCACTTTTCCGTTTGGTCCGGGCGAAATAAAAAAAATTTTTTCTTTTGCTTCCAGTCTAGTGTTTATACAATTATTTATACTATACAATGACTTATACAATTATTTTGACTTTTCCACTTGCAGGTTTATAGCTTATTACAGTCGGCATCTACCGTCGAAAGCTCAAAGTATAGTATCATCGTATTAACTGAACATTTTCAAGTCATTCGATACGAGCTTAATATTACTTCAAACATCCTAAATTCAATAGATTCGATCGATCGACGGCCAAATTAAAAAGGGCCACTCGCTCAAAAATGATTACAGAGTCAGCGAGCGAGGGAGCGAGCGAAGAGCTAGGTGCTAATTGAAAGTATATTTCCATTATAAGCTCTCGTGCGAGCTCCGCTGCTGCTGCATGCGCGATGAACTTAAGCTCACTCACGCACATCCCTCTGCTCTGCCTCTGCTCTACATATATAATACGAGCTCGCTACCGCTGCTCTGCGCGTGTAATAATTATTGCTTTTGCCTATTCTCTCTCACCCATTTCGTTCCACACGCGTATATATATAGTCGGTCGGTCTCTGCAGGCCGTGTGCGAGCGCGCGACTAAATTACGACCAATTCGTGCGTGTATATATTCGCGCAGTGCTCGAATAAACTCTCTCTACTCTGTCTCTCTCTCGGTCTCAGTTTAGTGCGGCCGCGAGCTTTTATGCTCGCACGAGCGCACGCACCCACGCACATGTGTACTACGTACATCGCAGCGTGGCGAAAAGTCAATTCGACCCTCCCCCGAAATAATACGACGTCCCTCTGCGCCGCTGCTATTTACTATATAGCTCGCTCTCGCAATCGAATCACAAAAACTACATGTATATGGTGCGGAGTGGAGAAATACTTCGTCGTCGGCCAGCTGCTGCTGCTGCTATTTTATGTTAATTTGTTCGTTCTCTCTCTCTTCGTGCATGTCCTATGGCGTATGTATAATATTTGTACGTGCGTATACGCTGTACACATGTTTCTCTTCGATATATACGCCGCGTGACACCACTACATTCCGTGTATACCGCTGCGGGTATATACGCGTATAACATTCCGCCGCGCGCATGAAAAATTGCGGCTAACGAGTTACAATTAGAGACAATTGACCCACGCCGCGCTGCACGACGCGTATATATATACGCGTGATATAAAATAAACAGAGAGAGAAAGAGCACGCGTTGTATGGATGACGACGACGTCGACGCGAGGCGTTGACGCGCTGCACACGACTCGGGGGGCTTCGCCGCGGCGCCAGCCTATATACTCCGGACATCTATTTGGTTTGATAATAACGCGCTGTGTATATGTGGCGTCGTGTGAGTATATCGTTCGTTTATTGTATGTATACAGGCGTGTACGCTGCCGGCGCAGAACTGGAAAAGTGCGGCAATAATCAGCTACATAAAGCTAGCTTTTGGTTTATACAATTATTTTGACTTTGTCACATGCGGATTTATGTAGATTGAGGTAGTCGCCATCTAGCGGTGGGGGCTGGCTTCAATTATCAACTACTGATCGCCAAGATATTAAAATCAAGATTCGACTTATACAATTATACTGACTTTGCCACTTGTAGGTTTATATAGATTATAAGGTAGTCGCCATCTAGCGGTTGATGTATGTTGTTCTACTCAAACCGTTTGAAAACAAGTTTACATTTTTGGAAGCAGTTAGATTGTCATTTTATCGAGTAGTTAAATCTCATTCGGTTCTGTTTATCGGTCTGCGATCAGTTGGCTTTATTTTTAAATGATTAAACTTTCATACAATAACTACAAATTCGCAGCACGGATACACTCAAACTTCTTTTCGTGCATACCCACAATTGCGCGCAATTATCGTTCGAGTATACGACAATGACGTACAACGGGGGGGGGGGNTAGAGCCATATAATTATGTACACCGCGTGACACAAAATCTTTGTAAAGCAGCTCGAAAAAGGATGACGAAAAAAAAAAAATTACGACGGGCATTGTTTTACGTGCCATTGGCTTTCATGCGTATAGTGGTTATTTGCACAGTGCAGTATAGGTGCTCGCACGGGCGAGGTCTCCCCTTTCCGCGTAAATAGACACGGGCTCCGTGTGTGTGTGTGTGTATGTGTGCCATAACAATTTAGCCAAAGACAAAGGCGCTGCAGCAGCAGCACAGCTCGGCTTTCAATGGCGAAAATCGGCGCGTCAATGAACTTCCTGGAGAACTGATAACGATGGTCTTAACTTTGCCGTTATAGACGTATAACACGCGCGCGCCCGAGAGAGAGTAGTCTAATAGTTAGTCCTGACTCGACCTCCGACTACTTATGCTCTCGTAGTTGTATAAACTCAGCAGTTTATTCCTACAGCTCCTTCTTGCGCCTTTTCCGTTTGCCTCGTTTATTTACGAGCCCGCTAATTATACGGCATGATACGATCTCTCTTTAGTTTTAATAGATCTGTAATCGAAAGCTCCGATAGTTACACTTTAAGATTCGAGTTATTATGATTATAATAACTCGAATCATAGAAAAGCTTTTCGGCGCGTTTATACATAAACTGGGACGTTTTTCATTTTTGACTTAAAATTTTCCGGACTCGAGAGCTTGCAGCAGTAGAAGCGAGCTACGAGCTATATATACGAGCTTACTATCTACTCTCTGGCTTGATTTAGTTAAGATGCCTCAAAGTTAGTACAAGATGTAGTTGAACTAAGGTTGGAAGTATACGTATAGGTAAGCTTTCCACCAGGTGATGTATACCCCAGCCACTGCTCACACAGCTGGCCTCGCCCGCGCCGACAGAGATGCTCGAGGGCGAACGAGCAAAGTACTAAAATCTCTCTCTCTCTCTCTCTCTCTCTCTTACTCACTCGCTCTCTCTCTCTCTTTGATATCAGACGGAATTTCTACGACGCTCTGCTCTGCTCAGCGCGGCGGTGGATTTTTCTCTTCTTTTTTTTTACTCTCTCTCTCGCTCTTCAGATCCCGTTGGGGCTTTTGCATCGGGGCCTAGTATATTGACTCCCGCTCGCTCGCGCTTGTGTGTAAGACACAGGTCTCTCTCTGCTGATTCTGCGGAGTCGAGGGCGGGGGCGCACACGCGCCGAGGCGAAGACTAACAGACTCGAGAATAACTCATTCATATCCAATTGAAGGAGCTCGCGAGAGCAAGAGAGAGAGAGAAGAATACATCAGCAGCAGCAGGTCGTGTCGTCGTAGCACGTAGCTTATATATTCAGCCTCGACCCCCTTTTCCGGACTAAAGCAACGAGAGTCGACTGACTCTCTCTCTCTTTTGTAAAACGAAGACAAATCGCAGTTTGCGCGGCGACGATCGACTTGCGAGCCACGCGTTACTACGCCCGCGCGCGTGGCCTGTTATTAGCCACTTGAATGGCGAAATTATTTATAATGAGGAAGAGCTGCTGATGCTGTTGCTCGTTTTGCGACACACACAGAACATTCATAATAACGTTTCCGCTTTATAAAACACACACACACACACACCTATACACACTTATTAATAATATCCTCTCTCCGCCTTGCGGGCGTTAATAATACGTGTATATAGCTTTTGTCCATCGCGCGCAGAGCTTTTATGCGATAAAGCGCAGTTCTCTCATTTAGCCGAGTCGAAAACGGATTTCAGCAAGCAGCTCGACATAACGACAACGATGAGGCGATAAATATTCATCATCTCTTTCTTTCTCTCCTACTCCTTTTTTTGCATTGAAAAAGAGTTTAAGGCTTTTCGAAACTGTCTCTCTACTTCACTTCTCGTTCATTCCTTTCCTTTCCTCTTTTTTTTCCTTTTTTTTTTTTTTGAAAAACTTTTAATTCCTCACAATGGGGGGATGCTCTTCAGTGACATTAAAAATTGAAACGCTTCATGAGCTCGCGCGCAAGAGGCAGTTTATATTCCCGCGACGTGCAAATAAATTGCGCGGCGTATGCAAAAATTGCAGGCAAATGAACATGCACTCGCATTTATGTTACGTTATGTACTGTGTAGCCCACATTCGGCGCAAAACGCGCGGAGATCAGACAAACGCAAATACACCGACAACTTGTGGGATGTACGGGGCTAAAATTCAGAAAAAATTGTTCATCTGTTATTTCGTTGTTGATGTTTTTTTTTCACCCCCGCAGCCACCCCCTGACTCGCAGCGGCGGCAGCAGCAACCCCGCAGCATGTTTCGTTGCTGTTGTTGTTTTTTTTAAAACCCCGTTGCGTTACGCAAAGTTTTTTCTCATTTGTACGAGCGTTGCCGGGTTGCGGCTATGGTCTGGAAAAGTATCTACGTAAACCACTTTTTTACCTATGGTATTTGCGTACATATGCACGCACCACACGCCAGCGGAGGCGAGCTTTGTTTAAAGCCGAACGCGAAAGCGCATGAAAAACAATAATTTTTTTTTTATATTTTTTTTTATTATTATTTTGCTCTCTTTTCCCTCTCTCTCTCTCTCTCTCTCTTTCTGTGCGCCCACCTTCGCGCAGATAACTCGGTTTTCATTTCAGCCCCCCTACTACCTTTTACTAGCCCCGAAAAAAAAATGCTCATTGTGTACGAATTTTTGTGTAAACATACGGTGTACATACGCGAGCGGTAATGGTAAAATAGGTTGAAAAATATACCCCGGGCCGCGGCGTTATTTTCCGCGGTAATTTTTATATCGCGAAACGAGCGTACGCGGGGGATTAAAAAAAAAAACGTGTGCGTACGCGTACTCGACTCTCGACCGCGCGCAAAATAAACATCGATTTTCGGGAGCTCGGGATATCGTTTCGATTCGTATTCCATCGATTTCTAAAATATATTTACTAAAAACGCGTGGTACGTGCCTTTTCTATTGAAAAGATTTCATCGTTTTAGTCGTAAAGTATAAAAGAGGGAAATAACACGAATAAATTTAATTCGTCCGCAAAACGACGACGATCGCGTTACTTCAATCGCATAAGTATACACAGACAAGCGCGACAATTCCGCAAATTTATACCTAGCGCCGCTCGAATCGCGTAAAATTGCAAAATTTTCCCAACTTAACGAGACGATATCTTCTGCTTTTAGAACCGACAATGAATGTAAAGCTTGACTCGACTCGCTGCTCTTACTCTCTCTCACTCGGCGAACAAAAAAAAAAAAAAAAACTGAAAATTTGTTGGACCAACTTTTCCACCTAAAAATATGTTTTTTTTTTAGCAGAAGGACGTAGACACATACACACAGACAATTCCACCAGCAGCGGCTCTTGTGCCCAGTGAAGCCCAACGCGCGTATAACTTTGTTGAAGGAGGACAGGGCACAAGGGGGGGCGGGGGGGTGGAGATGGTTTGGAAAAAACTTTTTGTCGACCTCGTCGTCGGCGCGTGGCACATATATAGTACACCCTCCTCTTGCACACTCGAGACTCGCGTCGGGCGCGCGACACATGTTTATGATAATGATGCGTAAAAAAGTTTTTCTCGCACCCCGAGAGAAGAGAGAGAGAGAGAGCATATAGAACTTCTTGAAACAGACATCGCGTTCGTTCACGCGAACGTATTACGGGCTAACACAAGACCATTGTGTGTGTGCTGGGAGCTGGAGCTGATTTTTCCCCGCATGAAATTCAATGCCGCGCCGTCGCCCGCGCGCGCAAAGCCAAATAGGATAAAGGCTCGGTCTCTCTCTCTCTCTCTCTGCGTAAGCACAAGGTATTATATATTTTCGCGGGAGTATAACGATCCCTCTCACTTTTTTTTTCATACGCTCGCTCGCTGAAACGATCGCATTATTCTCTTTGAAGTTTTTTATTTGTTTTCCTTTTTTTCGTTACGCCGACGATTGTAAAGTAAAACAAGAGAGTTTTATCGCTCGCGTGTGTGTTTACCTGTGGTTAGACGAGCGTCGAGAAGGAGCAGCAGAGTCAGTAGTACGAGTCGAATCAGCATCGGGCGGCCGACGAGCCCGATGGCGCTTGTTTGTCTCGAGGCGATGGACATCGTGTCACATGATTATTTCAATTAATAAACTTTGATTATAATCAATTTTTTTCTTTATCGATCACAATCGCACACAGATAACACACAACTAACGTGCACTCAGTAGTTTACACCAACGATCTCCGATCGGTCATCGACCTTCGCTAAACTGGACACTCATCGCGTCGATTCGCGCCGATCTCTGTCGCCGCGGCTCCACATTGTTTTTTACACGTATATATATATATATATAGCACACACATACGCTGACAGGAGGCTGGTAGACGGGGCAGCGCGCGCGCAACGAGCGCGAAAGCTTGACTGACTGAGCCTGCGACGGAGTCGCGGCCGGTTTATCCGTACAGCGAAGCGCGCGCGCGCAAGTTCACGCAAGACTGCCGTCGCCGCCCGGCGTGCGTATTACTGCGCTCGAATCGACGCGCGCATGCTCCTGTATACACGACCACGTGCATCGTCGTATAGGCATACACATTTTGCAGATTTTTGCCGTTGATACAAAGGTTCGTCGTTAATTCCGAATCGCGTGGGCTTGACGGTCGATAAAATTGCCGCTTGTGATCAATAAAATTAATTACCTCAATCGCGCTTTTTCAAATCGAGAGAGAGAGAGAGAGAGAGAGAGAGAGAGATTATTACTCACGCTTGGAGAGCGTCGCGCGTTTCGTCGTAGATTACGCGCGCGAGCTTTGACAATGACTCGTCGTTTGAACTTCTTTCGCCATTGACCTGTTGAAGCCTAGCTCCGCTCCGAGAGCTTTATCGTTTTTAAAACACAGTAATTCATGACTCGGTCGCGTACTAATTATTTTCTCTCTCTCTCTCTCTTTCTCGTCGTCGTGCAACTTTTCAAGGCAAGAAATGTTTGCATGAATTAGTTTTAATGAGTCTCCGCTCGCCCCTTCCTCTCTCTCTCTCTCTCCCTCCTCTTTGGGGGCTTTGATAAAATCATTTTATGAGTTAGATTAAGTCTCATCGAGGCTAATTTAGCGGCGAGGATTAATAAGCTACCGAGAGAGAGAGAGAGAGAGAGAGGCAGAGAGCTATAGAGTTATATTCAACTTCCATTTATACACGAGGATTGTGGCCTTTTTGCTGCCTCGACTCTCTTCTTCTTTACTTTTTTTGTTACTTCTTGGGTGCAAGAGGAAAGTCACAGGCCCAAGAGTGCGTGTAACTCGTCGCAGGTTCTTGGAATATCAATTATTTTGATTTCGTTCTCTCTGGTCGCTGATTATTTTGTTCTTTGTATGATGCTCGTCTGACAGTCGAATTTTTATTGGGGTACGAAAAATGAATATAATTCAAATGACGAATTTGCGCGTCTCGAGGAGCACTGAAGAATGACGAAAAAAATATAATGTTTCATTTTTGGGCTTTTGAAATAATGTAACGAGACTAGAAGTCATGCAAACATTTTGAAATATTATCGCGTGCAGCATGCTGATCATTTCACATTTCAACGCAGTTTATATTGTAATAAGCACGATTTAAGGTTCATAGATAAACACCAATGGGGTGGCGTAGGACATAGACATTTTACAATTATATGAATGAATTACATGCAACTTTTGAAAAAATGACTTGATTAGAATGTATGGCTATCTATTTATGTTAAATAACACGAAACTCACACCGACGCATTTCAATGTTTCACTCTGCACCGAGGTTAAATTTAGTTTACCTCTTGATACGCGTTTTCAATAGCTAATTGGTCACAATAGTACTTGTCCATCAATGTCAATTTATCTAATACACGAATTCTTCTTTTTTATTCAAGAAAACCTTTTGAAAATGGTTTCCACCCTATTGTGTAAATTCACAATGGAAGGATAATAAACTTGTTCTGGGGGTAAATTGGTTACACTTACGCGCAGGTATTATGTTTCACGGACAACAACTACAGAGCCCGGGGCCGTATCGTCGCGTTCGAATCTATTTGCGCGGGTTTATTGTTACCTATTTGTTGAAAATCCTCAGGAAAAATGCCGGGGAAATGGTTGTGTACGTAAATATGCATTTAGGCGTGTATTTGTTTATACGCGTCCGATGCTGGAATCGGCCGATCCGATTTTGATTAGTCAATAGGATGCGCAGTATATGGGTAGAAGCGAGAAATGCATTACTGTCATTATAATGCTATTGTGCCGTTTCTCGGTGAATCGTGAGCAACGTAAACGCCACCCGACACTTTAATTACTCTTTAAAAATTGAGCTTTGACTTATACATTTACTTTTACTTTGCCTCTTGCAGATTTACAGATGAAATTTCTCACCACCTAGCGGTGAAGGCTTGAAGCATTATTATCGTGATTCTAAACTGGTCTAAATTTTTTGTTCGAAACAAGAGGTTTATAAACGGTTAAATTGCCATTTATTTGTCATTTTAAATGCGCTTAATATTTTTAACGTGATTGTAACAATAAAGTTGACAAAGATCAGCCAATCGATGATAATGTATTTTAAAACATTTTAAATGGTCATATCACACTTTATTTAGTCATCAAGCCATTATTAATATTAAGTATTTCTACCCGCGATCCAGTATATTCAACAATATGGTGGTAACATTCGATACAATTTGGTGCGAATGGAGAAAAGTGAGAAACACGAATTTCATCAATTAGGAACATTTTGTGGTACTGGTAGCATTTCAAAATCGTTTGGTATAGATGTCCTATGATGCTCGGCTGTTAACCGAATTTTTTTGAAATGTGAGGGATATAAATAATTAAATGTTGAAATTAGCGTTTGACGATGAGCGTACAATAAAAAAATTGAATCTTATTCTTGAGCTTCTGCAATAATTGAACAATCAATAAAATCATATGCATATATTTCAAAATATAATTGTGGGGAAAAAAAGTTATTATTAAAAATTTCACATTTCAAGAAGTACAATTCAAGGATTACAGATAGACATCAGCGAAACAACGTACGACCAAGATAATTCTATAAGCTAAAATATAAAATAATTGCATGAAGAAGTAATGGTTGAGATAATAGTTCACTACTAGCATTCTTAGCTACCTGACCACTCGTTTCATAATTGGAATATATGTTAGGCCCAATTTTAATACAGGAAGGTCTACTAGACCTTATCATTATTAGCAGTATCATTTTCTTTGTTTTTATTGAGTATCTAAACCAGTTAGTGGAACAACTATTTAAGATGGAAACTAAATTTTTTTTGTTTGTTTATCATAAGCAAATTAATTTCGATGTTTCACAAGATTTTTTCTTCCAAAACTGCTACTTAGTTATTCTTACCAGCCCTCAAAAATGTCACCACTGGCATTGAAGATCATCTGCAAAGGATGGCTCGACACGAACAAATATATTGAACACATGATGTAAACAAAGCCCATTTTCAGAACAAAATTCATATCCTCTTTATATTTCATTACAATCTGCGAAAAAGCTATGACTTATAAGCTAATCTGATTCACTGTCAAATGAATACAAGCCAAATCGTACCACATATCCAGAAATGCTGTAGGCCGTGACCGCATTCAATGTTCCGATTATTAATACAGGACTTATGATTGAATTAATTATGTCACAGAAACTGATCATGAAAAAAATGAATTACAATTGTGAAGAATGATTGTCTATTTTATCACTTAACTAGATACAATATTGGTGTAATTGAACCAGCTCAGTAATATATTTAAAAATTTCATCATTTTTTTCCAAAAAATCCTCTGCTTCCGATAAAATAAAAATCTGTTTTAACTTCAACCTAATATAAGAAAAGAGTAAATTTGTTTACATAAATCATGAATTAATTATAAAAATATATAACATCATACTCCATGAATCTAAATTTTCCAACCCCGTAGGTGACTAACAGAATGTAAATTGTTCCTGAACTTGAAAAAAAAACTCGCCTTCGGCTCGTGCTATAATCCCTCGTTTTGCTAAAAAACCATATGTGCACCCGTTGAGAAATATACTATATATTAATATTGCATTAGAAATTGTACATGTTTGATTTTACCAGTGAGCAGTTTTGTTTATTTATAATTATAAAGTGTATGCAGACAATAAAAAAACAGTGAACACAAAATTGAAGGCATAAATCCATCGCTAAATTTATATCTACTTCGTTGTTGTTTGTTACTCGAGATACATATAAAAAAACTGTAAATAACAATCATTTTATGTTCATTCTAACTTGAATGTTTATTATAAGTGTAATATTAAATTTTTTACGTTACTGTTAAGTCAGTCCAAAAGGGCCACATAAATGAAGCCTTCATTAAAGGTACCATCAAGGGATAAATTTCTCTTGCACGTTTTTGAAGATTTGATATTTCTAATTCTGATACATCTTCTAGATCCCCTTTTCCAATCGTTTGTTGTAGAAAAATCGGCCAATATTGCAACATGTTTTTTACAAAGTATCACTCAAATTCTGTATAATAATTTAAATGCCAACGTGAAAGTCACACGACTAAAAATTATTAAATGTTCCACATTTATTTAAATAGAAATAATTTTATTTTTTAATTTTATTTTCAATGGCAATAAGATACATTATTACATTCCTATTGGTATATCATCAAATTATATAAATACCAATTCTTATTTTTCATTCTACATAATTTTATGAAATCATTCATGTATGCTATTTTTTTTTTAGATAAACCAGTTACACTTGGGCCATTTTATTTTTCACGAACAACAACCGGAATTCGAGGACATACATAGGAACACACGTGAAAATAATGTTGACAACTTCCTTTTTCATAAAAAACCATAAATAAAATATTATTAAAACAAAACAATCATACATTAATTAGTTATCAAAACGTAGTACTGAACGTCGTGTAAATCTTTCTTTGTTTTTATTGAAACTCTTTATCGATCGTGTAATACCTATATTGACAATTTGAAGAAACCAGATACTTATATCAGTTGTCAGAAATGTAATGCCGTAAATAATGTAGCGTCGTATATTTTTTACAAGCAGCAATTTATCACAAATAAAACATCGACACCCACGATTCTGTTTATCATTGTGGAAAAAATTAAAAATTTGAACCGTAAACTTTGACAATATATTATTACGTTGAATTACACCTTGCAATTCAGTTCCATAAACTACGAATAAAATGCAAAGCTGTATCTAATTTCGGAACGATTTCTAAATAAATAATCATGCTGAAGGTAGTACACTAATAAATTATTACACAAAACA